GTGTGTGTGTGTGTGTGTGTGTGTGTGTGTGTGTGTGTGTGTGTTGGGAGAGGAAGAAACTGATACATTCAATGGGGCAAATGTTAAAAATGGGTAAATTTAGGTAAAAGGCATACAAGAGGTCTTGAGAGTACTCTTGCCAAAAGTTGATCCTTTGCAAAGACCAGTGAAATGGACAAGAAAAAACCAAAAGTACAAGTAAACTATGTTAGGAAGAAAAAGAAAGACAAAACTAAAAGTAAAGATTTAAAATTTAATAAAGACTACAATGGAAAGTTTTATGGCCCCGAATATGAAAACTTAAGTGAAACAAGCCAATTTCTTAAAAAACTATAACTTACAAACTGACCGAAAAATAAAACAGAAAACCATTAGAGACCTATGACTATTAAAGAAACTGAATGACTAGAAAGCAAGGATGAAATGGGATGAGGGAATGGGAGGTGAGATACACTGGATTCTACCAGCACCACCTGGAAATATATCAAGTACTAGTGGTCAAAGAACAAGTATGTCACCATATCTTACATTGTAGGGGAATTCTACCAGCAAAAGAGGAGGGCACCGTCAAAACTGACTCCTAATTAGGAATTAATATGGCTCTGACTCCCAGGTAGGCACACTAAAAAACAATAAAAAACAAAACAATGGGGCACAGTTTTCTTGACCTAGTTCTTTCCCAGGTCCCCACAGCCTGCTAGATTTCTAAACAGCCAGAATAAAACTAAATAAGCTTAGGCAATTCTCTTTTACCTCAATGGATCTCTGTAATTTGGAGATGTGCTCATATAGTGTTGATGAAATAAATCTCAATGATCTCAGGTGTTAACAGTTATGAACCTTATGAACCAACTGATATAGCAATATCCTACTATAACACAGAAATAATTTAGAAACAGAAAAATATCCAAAACCACGATAGCTGGAGATATTCAACCTTTGAAAGTTAACCAAAAAAGGATGTATAAATTTGAATAATTTAATAAATAATGTTAAATTTTGCAAAGCCAAAAATTTATACTACAGTGAACTGAAGTATTTTCAAAAGTCTGGACTTTACAAAGGATAAAAAACCTCAAATCAATAATTGAAGTTCCTACCCCAAGAGACTAAAAAAAGGAGCAAAATAAACCCAAAACAAGCAAAAAAGATGACAACAAAAATCAATAAAATTGAAAACAGAAGAAAAGTCAATGAAACAAAAACTACTTTTCAAAAAAATCAATAAAACATGCATCTCTAGCAAGACTGACAAAAGAGCAAAGCTACAAATCACCAATTACAGGAATAAAATGGGATATTGCTAAAGTTCCTGCAGCCTTTAAAAAAATAACTAAGCTACTAAGAACAACTTTATGCTCATAAGTTAGACAGCTTAAAAAAAGTCCAATTATTTAAAAACTGCAAATTATAAAAATTCAACCAAGATGAAATAGATAACCTGAATAGTCCTGCAACAATTAAAGAAACTGAATTTGTAATTTAAAATCTTTTGACGAGGTATTTATACTGAGATAGTTTCAATGAAAAATTCTACCACCTAAAAACGAACTAACACCAATTTTACAATCTCTTCCAGAAAACAGAATAAGGAGTAATCCCCAACTTATTTTAATGACGCCAGTATTACCTAGACATCTACATTAGACACAAACAGGACCAAAAACTCCCCACAATCAACAGACTATTATCTCTCATGAACTTAAATGCAAAATTCTTCAACAAATTATTAGTAAATCAAGTCCAGCAACATATTAAAAATTACACACCAAGACCAAGTGGGATTTATTGCAGAAACGAGGCTGGTTCAACATTTAAAAATCTATCAATATAATCTATCGTATCAACAGGTTAATAGTGTGATCAATTGGCCAGGCGCAGTGGCTCATGCCTGTAATCACAGCACTTTGGGAGCTAATGCAGGTGCATCATGAGGTCAGGAGTTTGAGACCAGCCTGACCAAGATGGTGAAACCCTGTCTCTACTAAAAATACAACAATCAGCCAGGTGTAGTGGCAGGCACCTGTAATCCCAGCTACTCAGGAGGCTGAGGTAGGAGAATAGCTTGAACCTGGGAGGCAGAGGCTGCAGTGAGCCAAGATCACACCACTGCAGTCTAGCCTGGGTGACAGATCGAGACTCTGTCTCAAAAAACAAACAAAAAAAGTCATAAATTGATACAGAAAAAAATATTTAACATACTCCGATACCTAGTCATGATGAAAAATTATCACCAAATTAGCAAGAGTAGAATTATCTCAATTTGATAAAAAATACCTATAAGAAAACCCAGCCAACAACATACTAAAGGGTGAAAGAGTGTATGTGTTTTGGTTAATATCTGAAACAAGGCAAGGATGTACTCTATTACCACTGTATTCCATATAGAATTGCAAGTTCCAGCAATAGCAATGAGAAAAGAAAAAGAAAAGGCACACAGATTGAAGAGGAAGACATAAAATCCTTCCTATTTGTAGATGACATGATGTTAACATTTAAAAAGTCCAGGGAATTTACATAAAGAATTAAAAATGTCTATGTAACAGGATACAAAAATCAACATATGAAAATTAATAGTACGTCTACATACATACAATGCACATGCAGTAACTAAAATTAAAAACAAAACAGCACTTACAATTGCTCCAAACAAAACATATAGGTATAGAATTAACAAAACATATAGTATCTGTGTGCTGAAAAAAAAAAGCACAAAATATTAAGGAAAGGATTCAAAGACCTAGAGACATAGCATATTTATGAATCAGAAGATTCATCACAGTAAAGACGTCCATTCTCCCCAGGCAGATACATAGGTTTAATACAAGTCCTATCAAAATCTCAGTAAGGTTTTTTTGTAGACACAGACGACAATATTCTAAAATTTATATGGAAGGCCACAGACCCAGAATAACTAAAACAATGTTGAAAAAGAGTAAAATGGGAGGAATCATTCTACTCTGTTAAGGCTTCTTATATAGCTACAATAATACAGTGTATGGTACCAGTGGAGGGATGGACAAATACAGAAACGGAACTTACTGAAGAACACAAATATATTTACCTGATTTTTAATGAGAGTACAAAAGTAATTCAAGGGAGGAATCCAGACAATCTTTTCCACAACGGTACAAGAAAAATTGGACATTCATAGGAAAAAAAATATAAGTTAACTTATACAAAAGTTAACTTAAAACGGACCATGGACTTAAATGTAAAATGTATAAGTATTATACAAAACTTTTAGAAAAAAATCACAGGATAAATCTTCATAACCTATGGCCAGGGCAAGAGTTCTTAGACTTGGTACCAAAGCATGATAAATGAAAGGAAAGGTTGATAGATTAGGCCTTATCAAAATTTAAAACTTTGCTCTGCAAAAGGCCACATTCAGAGGATGAAAAGACAGGCTACAGACTGGGAGAGAACATTTTCAAACCATGTATTCCAACATAGGACTAGTACCTAGAATACATAAAGAATACTCCAAACTCAACAGTTAAAAAGCAAGGCTGGATGCAGTGGCTCCGGCCTGTAATCTCAGCACTTTGGGAGGCCAAGGTGGGCAGATCAGTTGAGGTCATAAGTTCAAGACCAGCCTGGCCAACATGGTGAAACCCCATCCTACTAAAAATACAAAAATTAGCCAAGTGTAATGACACACGCCTGTGGTCCCAGCTACTTGGGAGGCTGATGCAGGAGAATCACTTGAACCTGGGAGGCAGAGGTTGCAGCCAGCTGAGATCGTACCACTGCACTCCAGCCTGGGTGACACAGGGAGACTCCGTCTTGGGGAGCGGGGGCGGGGGGAACCCTCAATAGTAAAAAGGCAAACAATCCAATAAGAAAATGGACAAAAAGATTGACATTAACCAAAGAAGGTACAAATAATCAAATGAAAAGATGACCATTCACTATCAGAAAAATGCAAATTAAAACCACAATAAGTTACAATCACTACACATCTCTCAAAATGAGTAAAACAAAAAATAGTGACTACTTGAAATGCTAGTGAAGATGCTTACGAAACGGATTGCCCATAAACCGTTGGTGGCAATATAGCATGATAAACCACTCTGGAAAAAATTTCGGGCGTTTCTTAACAAAACTAAATATGCAACTACCATACAACCCAGCAACTACATACCTGTCATTTATGCCAGAAACATTTACATTCACAGAAAAAACACATACGTGAATGTTCACAGCAACCTTATATTTAGTTCCAAACTGGAAACAGCCTAGATGTCCTTCAATAAGTCATATACATACATGTCACAGACTACTACTCAACAATAAAAGGAACAAACTCTAGAGATACTCATTAACCTGGATGAACTCTCAGAGAATGATGATGAAAGAAAAAAGGTCAATCCTGAAAGGTTACACACTTATGATTACAGTTTTGTAACATTTTTTGAAAGACAAAATTATAGAAATAATTGAGAGAACAGAACAGTGGTTGCCTGACAAAGAGGGAAATGGATGTGGTGATAAAAGTAACAGAAAGAAGAGATTCTTGTGGTTGTTAAGCTGTTCTGCATTTAGTATGCAGTAGTGAACATGTGATTAAAACTGTACAGACTTAAACACACACAAAAATGAATATAAGTAACCAAGGAAATCTGAGAGACTGTATCAACAGAAATATCCTGGTTGCAATATGACAATATAGTTTTGCAAAATGTTGCCACTGGGTAAACCAGGTAGAGTGTACACAGCATTTTATTATTTCTTACAACAACAATTAATAATCTACAATTAGTTCAACAAGAATTTCAATTTAAAAAAATCGGTGAGGCATTTGCAAAACCAGATTTCATAAAAATTAGTACCAAATTCTAGTCCGGTCAGGGTGGAGAACATAAGAACCCTTCCTTATTATGATAAAGGACATCTCAAGACACCAGCTGATATCATAGTTATCTGTGCAACATTAGAAATCCCTTTAGGGCCGGGCGTGGTGGCTCACGCCTGTAATC